TACCACGTGACACACAAAAATCGATGTTTATCTGTGTTTTTTTAATATTTGCTTTTATACTAAGAAACTTAGTAATATATAGTACTAAAATATGAATTATGATGTACATCTTGATACCAAAGTTATTGACATAAATTCATGAAATAGTAGTTCAATAAATTTTGAATGCGAGTCAACAAACAAGGTGACATGGCTTTTCACCCATGACCTGTCTTGAAAAGGTTAAAGAAATGGTTGTACTTTCTTTATGTTAAAATAATTGTTATTGCAAGCTTTATTCTTTACTGGAGTCTTTGTCAGTCTGTAGATTAGGAGTAAATTCTAAACATACTTACCTCTTCTCACACTACAGCTATTACCCGACTGCCAGGGTTTCTTCCTTTGCTCATCTTTTACTCACTTTCTCCAGTCTTTTATACCCCACTTAATTGACTTACATCAGTGCACCATCCATCCCTATGTACCTTACATCAGCACGTCATTCAGATAATATTATCACTTTTTCTCGACAAAGCATTTACTAACGAGTTTCTCTGTGCTACGATCATTAGGAGATACTTTGAGCATTCTTAGTGTTCTGTAGTTGTTTTTTGTAAAAATAAAGAAAAATTCAATTGGCATGTTGATATAAAACATGAATTCCTGGATTATTATTTCTGGCATGAAGGCTAATCAGGTCTCTGCTATCCCACCTCTGATATCTAGTGTTGCTTTACACTCGGGAGAGTGGATAGTCACTCTCAGTTGAGACTCAACAATCTTATTCCTAGTGAGATAGAGACATATATTTAGTTTAGTGGTGTTCCTCCAGGGGGCTCTGAGGCTGCAATTGAGGGCAATCCTGGACATTGTGGAGAAAATTTAGATTTGCTTTTTCCTGCACCTTTTTTTATTCTGTTGGCTTCTCAGGAGGCCAATTTGGGATAAGCTGCCTCAGGTTCTTTTTTTTTGTCAGTTGGTCCATTGAATGTGTGATGTTTTGGGTCTTTCCCCAGTTGCTTTTGAGCCTCTGCCTTACTTAATGGCTGAAAGGTCTGGGAGCAAATACTTAGTTTTCCCTTCATCCACTGACATTGTGGTTCATGCAGGGAGGTTTACTGCACAGTTATGTGTATAGACAGCTATGCCTTATTTGCCACGGTTGTTGGAACTACATGATTTAACTTACCACTGCCAGGTGGAAGCATATTCTGACTCTCAAAGAATACTTCTGCTCCTGGAAGTCATGGGTTCTAGAGAATAGATCAATGTCCCCTGGTGCCACAGGGTAAGTCTATGGATTTTGAACTCTAAAGTCCAACATGTTGTTTTCCTAAAACTAAACTTTGTTGGAAGACTCTAAGGATCACCAAGTCTATTGATGATGAACTGGAATCATTGTTAGCATGCACATTGGTTCAGTTGTCGACTTCTACATTCATCCCTATTCTTGTTGGTGTCTTGACTTTCATTGACTTCTACAGGGGGGTCATAGTTCTGCTCCTATTCGAGGGTCTCGACCCCCAACATCAGCCACTTGGTCCATTGGTACCCAGAATAGATTTTGTCCATATCCAGGGGTTTTGCTGCTCAGTCGGAATGATACAAGTGGTGTTGGTGACTATTGTATGCCTTTGGGGGTCTGTGAAGACTCGGCTCCAATAATTTTTGGACATGTGGTAAACCTTAACCATGGATCCATAGGTCATTGAATCAGGATTAGTCATTCAATTTGCATCTTTATCACCATTATCCACCCAACCTGTAGGGCTTCCATCTCCTGCAGATCCTCAGATTTTAGAATTTGGTTCTAGGGCTATCAGGTTAATTGGTCTGGGGGTAGAGAAAGAATTCTTCTAGTTCTTCCAGGCTTTTATTTCCATCAGTTTGTTGGGCTCAAGAAGACAGGAGATTGATGTCCTGTCATTGATCTTTCTCGTCTATATCAATTACTAGATTCTCCAAGGTTCACATATGACTCATTCTTTACTCTGATTTGTTTATTTTTTTACTAGGATTGTGGATGTCCAAGTTCGATGTTCTGCTGAATAGTACAAGCATTTTCTCGTCACCTCCATTCCCTTGCCCTGTTCACACACTATTTTATAGATGACTAGAAACAACAAAGGCAGGCTTCATTCTCAGAGCTGAAACATCTATTCTTGTTCCAACTCATTATGTCTGGGTATTTTTTCATCATGTATCTCGGTCAAACTCAGATAAATCTAATCTTGCTCCACGCTATGAATGGACAGGAAGCTCGACTCTTACTTACCTCTTTTTCTCACACTGCACGGATAGTTCTTTCTTTTTTGGGAATATGGGCATCACTTGAATCCCTCATGTCTTTGAGACAAAGCACACAAGTGATCCTTTCAATGGTCTTTGTGCAACCAAGGGATCATACACATTGATTCCTTTGATTCCCAAGTTTCCTTTTTCAAGATCATTC